TATAATTGTGTTATCCTCAAGGGGGGCCAACAAAATTTTAGCATCTAATTTTTCATTTCCACCAGCCCCCCCCCCCCTGTAATTTACTGGCCCTGATTGCATATTAGGAGGATCTGTTATGCCAGCTTCATTCTCATGCACAACCTTTTGCTCTGCCCTTATAACTGTTATCTAAAAAGCAAATGTTCATAAGGTATATGAACATTTACAACTGATGATCGTGTTTGTCAATACACAGGCACTTCTTTAGAGGAGAGGAAATGAAATTTACCCCATCTTTAAAATATTGGCACATTATAAATTTTCAGGCTGTAAAATTAATACAGTATTTTAGTGGAATTATAAGGTAGTGTATAAGAAACAAGATTAATAGCGAGATGTTCATCTTAAGAAAATACAAAATAACAGTAACTCCAAATAACATTTTGATTAAACGTACAAAGTTGTCCTTCAGTAACATTATATAAATGTTGTTGGTTCAAGTGAGGCCAAAAGCTACTGTTAAAAGTAAAGTAAAGTTAGGCGGAAATTTTATTTTAAAACTGTAAAAATATAAAAAGTTTAAAAACGTCTTAGCTTTCGTCGTCTATGACATCATCAGAGACAAAGTGAGTTATTTGTGAGAACAACTATAAATACTGTGTCCTGAATTGGAATTGCAAAGTATGTACAACTTAGAGATGAGGAGGTAATTAAGCAAATGGGATAATTAAAATAATCCGATAGTTCGCTGTATTCCTCCCTTACGAGCGACCCCGATACTGTCAATTTACGACTCAAAGAAGCCATTCACATCCGTAAACATAAACCACAAATCAATTCCTGGGAGGAATACAGCAAACTATCAGATCTCTTATTTTAATTATTTTAATTATCTCATTAGCTTAATTACCTCCTCATCTCTCAGTTGTACATACTTTGCAATTCTAATTGGACAAAAACAAGGAGTTTTATGTTCACATGTTGAACCAGAATCCTGAAGTAATACTAATTTGCAGTTTGAGGTCTTCAAGTGTCTGCAACATCCTGACATTTTATTTCAGATTGAGATGTTTAAGCTTTGGCAAGCTTGATAAGCCTTGGCTTTTGAGGCAAATATATTAATAAAGTTTATATAAAAAAATATGTGAGACCCAGCAGCTTGGTTGGAGGAGCATTTACACAACTATGTTTAGCTTTGATACTGAAAAAAACACTGTATTAACTGATCAATCAATCAATCAATAAACTTTATTTACAGAGGGTTAAAAATATTACATAGCTAATATACCTGGTAAGTCAAAAGACTTATCTTCCTCAGGGCCCTCGCTATTTTAGTTAAAAATATGAGTTGAAGTTATTTACAATACAGTGAAATATTATCAGTTACTAGTTAAAAAATAATTTGTTAAACATTTCCTCTTAAAGTTGTTTAGCGATACACTTTCTCTAATGTTTGAACTTAATGTGTTCCATATCTTTACACTACTGTAGCCAAACGTATTTGTATATATCTGTTTATGTTTTCCTGAAGGCAAATACAGATCATTTGCAGAGCTTGATCGGGTTGTCTTTGTATGAACTTGTCTGACAAACCTAAACATATTTGTCATATAATTGAGACTTTTGTAGACCATAATAGCTTTATGGTACTTAATACGATCCTCGATAGGCATCCAGTTTAATGTTAAAAACATGTCTTTACTGGGGTAACGATTATCCGTGATGTCCAAAATTACCCTGGCTGCTCTTTGTTGAGCTAAATTGATCTTCTTAACATGAGGTGAACCACCCCAAACAATGGAACAATAATCCATGTGTGGAAGAATGTGCGCATTAAAGAAAAGTTTCCGTGTCTGTAGCGGTAAATATTGTTTAATTCTACGAAGTACAGCTATACTCCTATTTATCTTTGAAACAGTGGTGTTTATATGATCCTCCCAGGACAGATTATGATTCATAGTGACGCCAAGTAATGGTTTTGAAGTAACGTTTTCCAGTACTATATCGTTAAGGCTTACACACAGATCTTCATTTTGTGGTATGTGAAGCCGTTTTTGCCACGATGTTATGAGCATACACTTTGTTTTGTCTGTATTTGGCATCATTTTGTTGTCATTGCACCAATTTGAAACCTCATCCATAGCTTGATTTAAGTTTTCATTGAGTTGGTTTATGGTTTTCGCAGATGTCGTGATGGTAGAATCATCCGCATACATATCTATGTCGCCATGTGGGATAGACAGTGGCAGATCGTTAATAAAGACAATAAAAAGCAAGGGGCCCAGAATAGATCCCTGAGGAACCCCTTTCATCATAGGTAGTTTGGAAGATATTTTACCATTCACAGATGTACTTTGATATCTGTTTTGTAGGTACGATGAAAACCAATTTACAGAATTTGTACTGCATTTATACATTCGTAGCTTTTGTAGCAAGATACTATGATCAATTAGATCGAAAGCTTTACGGAGATCTAAAAGGACGACTCCGTTCATATATCCTTCATTTATTGCTTTAGCCCACTTGTCAATCATGTAGGTAATAGCTGTTTCACAGGAAAATAAATTTCGAAAACCAGATTGAGCTTTATGCAGCAGGTTGTTTGACTTTAAAAATTTGTAGAACGAAATATGCACATGTCTTTCAAGTAGTTTCGATAGTGTAGGTAAAATTGAGATGGGTCTAAAAATTTTTCTCTCCTGGACACTTCCGTGTGCACTTCCTTGGCGATTCCATGTGCATTCCAGCATGTTTCTGCCACATCTGATTTAGCAAAACCCAAACTCACATATCTTCTCTATGACCTTTTATTGTTTTAAGATCACATTCCACCAAGACCTCTTCATATGATAACTCAGGAAGCATTATTTGAAGAGCTCATTTTTGAATACATGCTCAATATATCACATGTCTGCTCATTTGTTCGATTGCCATGTCAAATATGTGCACAGTACCTCAAGGGTTGATCTGATCACAGACATGTAAAAGGCTTTCAAATCTTCCATTGGGAAAGATTTAGAGTAAACAAGCATTTTGCTACTTTCTTTACTAAATATTTAATATTAGTTTTCCACTATAGGTTGTCATCGATCCACATACCCAATAATTTATACGATTTAACTCTTTCAAACACGTGTCTATTTTCTTCCAACGGTGGGATGACAGATTTGGGTTTTTTTGAAAGTCAATAACCATCTCTTTACACGCTTTTAAATTTAGTGCCATTTTTTCATATTCAGTAAATTGAACAACCCTATTAATTTTCCCTAATAAACCACCTATCGGCATGCCAGCAGGGCTTTATCCAAGCACTTTTGTTTTAGAAAAGAAGATTCAGTTTTTGTGACGAATGAATGTAGCCCTAGGGCAAAGTCTCTGAAAGCTTTTGCTATTTCAGCATCTTAGACTATGTTGCCGCCACGTTTGCTTGAATGTAACCGCATGGTTTCCGAATTATGTAATCTTGTGCAAACATTGCTCAATACCAAAGGGCAAAAGAGGCCATACGTCAATGTGGTCGTATTCGAGCATATTCTTTCTGTGGCTTTTTTACTCTTCCAGGCTCAAGGTTGTGTAAATTTTAGATTTGAGTTCGAAAAATTTATTTTCTATTTGTGTAATATTTAAAGAAAATTGAAAGTAATCCAAACATGCATGCCATCTAAGCATGGTGGGCACAAGACACAAAATATATGATAGAGGTAGCTTTATAACGTAAACATGTTGTTTTATTTTGAAACAAAACCATCTCAAATAACCCTGTTTCTTGAAATTCCGAAAACTAAAGCATGTGAAAATTATTTTTTGTTGTTTTTTTCTTTTTGGTGGGGGAAAGATTCAGTTAAAAAAACTCGATACAAGATTGTGGTTTGATCTCCGTTTACCGGAGGTCAGTTGGTGCTTGGATAAAGCTTTGGCCAGATATATCCCAGGTTGACAATCTTGGCAAGATCCCAGCAAGATCTTGACAAGATCGTACCCAAGATCTTACCAAGATCATGCCAAGAACTTACATAAATCCTGCAAGATCATGGAAAGATCTTGCAAGATCTTTCCAAGTTCTTGCAGGACCTTACCTAAGATCTTGCAAGATCCTGCAAGATCTTGCCAAATAGCCAGCATGGCCGGCTCTTTTATAAGTAGAGCCTGCCCGAAAGCCCTAGTAAAATTGATCATGCCTACTTAGTTAATATTCCATATTAACACCGCCCACTTGAAATAGTTTTGTATAAATGTGTGACATAAGATGTCAATTGTTGTAAACTTTTTAATAGATGATAGCGATTCAAGTATTCAACGGCCTGGAAAATACAGGCAAAATACTGGCATTTCGACCAAGGGCCCTTCGACTTTGTCTGGAAATTAATAGTAGACGAAGACCGTTCAAAATTATATTATGCTTTGCATCTGTATGGCTGTACTACAGTTATAAATATTGCAGTATTAAATATAATAAATTACTTAGGAAAAAAGTAAATAGACCCCTTCCTGTGTTATACATGGTTGGCAGGCAAATGTATCTTAAAAGCTTCAAAGAGAGCTTCGCAGTATTATTATGGTGTAAATACAATGGGGAATGTATTATTTATATAATCGTAATTTTCCAGCCAGCAAAATATAAACAAGGCAAGGACAGTGAAGGTTTTATACTCTATACTATACTCTATAGTGACCATATGGTAAAATCATGACATATGCAGTAATAGCAGTATGGCTTGCCTTATTCTGTTTAGATACCGGTACATGTTACACATTTTACAATTTGTCTTTTGAATTTTATATTTTAGCTGACAGGTTTATAGCAATGCCGTTTGTTTTTACTGTATTTATCTTTAAATTTTTGAATAAATTAGTGTAACATGTCAATCAACCTGTCGTCAACGTAAATTCAGCCAATCACAATTCTTGGCAGCTGACTGCTGAGAGTGATAAATTTTACTAGGGCTTTCGGGCAGGCGCTTCTTCAATTATCTGCCTTATAAAAGAGCCGGCCATCCTGGCTACTTGCCAAACATCTTGTAAGATCGTGCCATGATCATGACAAGATCTTGCCATGATAATGGCAAGATCCTGCAAGATCTTAGGTAAGATTGTGCAAGAACTTGGAAAGATCTTGCAAGATCATGCAAGATCTTTCCATGATCTTGCAGGATTTATGTGACATCTTGCAAGGCCACGATGGTCGGTTGCTATGCAGTTTGCTCCCGGAGTCAAATTGCGATTGTTGTTAGTTTCCGGTCTCCTAGCTGTGATTTAAGGCGTGGTTAAAATACCGCGACTTTAGCGCTCTCGTTTGCGTTTACTTTCAAACATTATTAAAACAATACTTGCCCAATTAGTACTTTCTTGAACCGTTTAAAGATATTGCAGGGCAAACTAGTCACAGGACAAATGCAAAGCGGTATTATGGGCATATATTTTTGCATTCCGGTCGAAGGATATCCCGCCCACAAGGACAAATTCTACCATTTAGGGGTCCCACAGCACCACACGTGTGTGCCCTACAATCCCCCTTTGAAAACCCCCCCTGGATTTATAGCATTGCCAGAATTATAAGCGAAAATAGCTGAAAATTGCGCATTTTTCGTTTTATTTTTCAAATATTTTTGTTAAAACGTAAATCTGGAGACACTTCCCAAATCAAAGTTGAAGAATATCATTTATTGAAGAACTTCTAATGGTTAGCAGTAACAAAGAAAGGTGAGGAGAAAATATCCTTCGGCAAACTCATTTGCATTATTAGCGTATTTGTGACTCGCCATATTGTTGCTTCTCTACCCGCTAGCGGTCTTGTCTTTCTAACTCGACAGATTATTGCTGTAAAAGTCAAACGTGTGATGGAAATAAAGGAAATCCAGCAAAATCCAACAAACAGAGACCACTAGTGGATAGTTTTTGGAAAAAATCTCCATTCTTTAAGCTCAGAGAAGGCCAAGGAGATCTGTCACGCAAGGTTCATACTGTACTAAGTATAAACTGAGGTTAATTGAGCTTGGCATTGGAACCCAGCTTAATTAAGTTACTAAATAGTATAAGCTGTAGAACGGCTGCATATTTACAAGTTGATTGTCAGTTTAATATAATATGTGATATCGAAATATTAAAATTACAACATGGGCCACAAGTTGTAGATTTTTGTTTAAAAGGCAGTCTGACTGTATAAACCTATTAACTAATAGTAGCCAACACTTACCGGCCCATTTCAGGGGTAGAATTATCAGGTGTTTATAGCCTAGATATCGTAAAATACGAAAGCAGGGTGTATACACGATACATCAAGGGCCATAAAATGAGACTGATAGCTGAAACTACTGATTTATCTGCATGTATTCGTGTATTCTCATATTTGTTTACTTCGCCTCATTCAACCTCATACTGCGTGCCTTGAGTTAGGTGGTTTCTTTACTTCGATAAAAGCTTATCGTGTGGCTTACACAAGTTTTATTTACATTAATATAACTACAGAATACTGAGTTATAGTTTACAAAAGAAATCAGTTGCACATGCGTTTATTTAAGCTACGATCGGGGAGCCGTCTTCTCGCTAAAGGTCGATATAAAGACAACATGCGTTGGTAATCTGAGTCGTGAAAGTAGCAAATGTACTATGTGATCCTCGCACGAAAACCATCATGAAAAGCGCTTGGAATTGTAACTAAATGATAAAATTAAGTGTGCGCAAAGACATGAAATCTGTTTCTGGAAAAGCTGCGTATCTTAAGGAATTTAAATCACTGGTATACTGTAATACTATAATTTTATGTCGCTACGGATCAGTTGCACAGCCGATTATAAACTGTAGTATATTTGGCAGGCATGTATGAGCGCGCTGTAGCTAAATCTGCTATATATGTTGTCATCTATATATACAATGGAAGTATGTGTTTATATATCTCAAAATACATCAGTGTGCGAATTAGTTGAAAAAAAACGATGTGCAATTTTTTCTCGAGAAAAATGTACCTCCAGAGTCATAAAATTGGTTCAGATTAATGTTACATCTAGCTACTCAGAGTCACATTCAATCAAATACTCCATTAAGCCAACTATTATGGTGCAGTAATCTAATATTTCTAATACATGCATTTAGGATACATTTAAACAAGTTAAAATTCCATAAGCTAGGCACTTTCTGACGAATCTTGATCCGAAAAATAGGCATGTCGGCATGATGCGTCCGACGTCTCGACTTTCTTCTTCCGTTTCTCCGGATAAGCGTGGCCTCCGAATCCGATCGTTCGTTTCTTTTGTCCATACCACCGCTCAATTGCAGCAGTTGGATCATAATCCTTCACTGAAGGTCCCTCCTCACTAATTCTCAAAAGACCGTCCAATCTGTCTCATGACATTCTGTTGCGTAGGTGTGGTTTCATTCTCGCCATTGTGGAGAACATCCGTTCAACCACAGCATTCGAGATGGGTGTAATCAACAGCAGTTCCACAATGTTTAGAATGTTTGAAAACTGTTCTTTACCAGCTGGTGAAGAGAGTATGGCAGCCCAAACATCCAAGTATGGAATAGCTTTGCCATACGTCTCTGAAATCAACAACTTAAGCGCACTCCACTCTGCCAGCATCGTATCACGCGACACATCACAGCCGTTTTGCTTCAGAAGCTGAGCGAAGTGGTCGACAAGTCGCGTGACCGATTCGTCTCCGTAGCTGATCAAATTAACTTCTTCACCTGGCCAAGATTGGGTGTCTAGAATAGGACAAAGATGTTTATAAACTGGTGCCTCTTGAAGATCTTTAAAGCGATTGCTCAAACATAAGACAATCGCATCCATCCACTCTTGTCTTTGTCCAGCAGCGCCATTGAGTGCACGGGCATAATTCGTGAGCACTACATCTTGATACGAAAGCCGGTCCTCATTGTCATCCGCGGCTTTGCAATCTTTCTTAAATGCATCAAAAGTAGCCGTGCCAAAAGTGCTAGCTGTAGCTTGACCATAGTCCAGTGAAATTCTTTAATTCTTCTCAAAGCTTTCACTGGGTCGTTGTCATCAGCTTGTAGTCCAAGGGACAAAACACGCAAAGGGCCAATAATGTCGACGAAGATAGCAACGAACATTGGGAAATGAGCATCTTTCCATCTAGCCAAGAAACCTTTTATCTTCTGCTTTGGATATCTGGTGACGTAGCTGCGGCCTATATATAGTCAAGAGTATATAGAACAAAAAATAACATATCTGAATTCAATATACATGCAATACTATACATTCTATATTTCTATAAATAGTTAATGTCAATGTGAACGTCTTGAATGCTCAATTTCTTTCGAAATTACAATTGGTCAGCCTCAGATTGTTTGCAAGAGAATTCGTCATTTCCTTTCGAAACGCTGAAAAACAATGTTACTAAAATAGGGTTGAGAAACACATGTTAGTTTGAACGTATTAATATATATATATCGCGGCTTTCATCAGTAGAAAACTTGAAAAAAAAAACCTGAAAACGTGTACTACTCTTATCCTTTGCCGTTTTTACGAGACATTATAAAAAAAATAAACCGGGCATGGCGGTGCAAGTTTGATGCAAAGTTCATAAAATTTGCCATTCTTACCTGCTCAAGATGCTGAATATACATGCCATAGTTCTCCAGGAAAACTTTGGTGGCGTGCACTTTGTGATCTATCCACCTCGTGCCGCTTGCCTTGACAGGCTTATACACAGTTCTCCATATGCTTCAGCAAGTTTTTTCAGTTCTCTGAGCTTCTTTGGCGACTTTTGGTACAGCGAAAATAGTTGACGCAACATTTCATCTAATTGAGCGAAAAACGTTACATTGAACGCATCGGCAGCAGCTAATTCGAGATGGTGATTGAAGCAGTGGACGGCAGTGAGCCAGGGGGCAATTTCTTTCAAACGAGCTGCTAAACCAGTATTTCTCCCCATATTAACACTTGCTCCATCCAGGCCAGTCGCTGCTAGTTTACATTCAAAGTTTACGATGCCAAAACGAGCAAAAGCTTCGGTCATAGCTTGCTTCAGCCCTGCTGCATCCTTGTTGTCAGCCGTCTCAACTGACATCAACTTACAGGTAGCTCGACCGTCCTTCTGGATATACAAGACGTAAAATAGTTCTTGCGATTTCACACTTGTATCAGTACTGCCGTCGCATAAAACTGAATAATATCTGGCATCCTTTAAATCTTTTTCAAGAGTTCCTTTCATGACTCCAGAAATGTAATCTGATAACTCAGCAGCGGATCGGTCTGTCCGATACGAATTCCCAAGATCAACACCGCACTTCTCCAAGAGCTGGCAAATGGGGACCTACTTTTTGAAAGGCAGCTCTTCTTTACACACAGTGTAGCTGGCATTAAAAAGATGTTCCATCCTTCCACGATCGTCAGCTGCCATTTTGTTGAGTCCTTGGCCAATGGGGTTTTCGTTTACATATTCGTCCACATATTTCTCCTTTAAGGTTTCCTTTAAATTCAGCTTAACTGCCATCCTATGTTGATCGGAATACTGATGATTTACGACGGTGTTCTTCTTTACAATTGCTGATCCAGTGATAAATGTGCGAGAGAAATTTTTAGCGCTTGTTATTCTCTCCTCCTTGCTTGTGCAAACTTTACAACGCAATAAATTCACCACTTTGCCATCATCATCGTACTCAAGCCAGTCAGCGTTTAGTGTTTCCTTCCATTTTTTTACTGTGTTCACTTTGCTGGTACAACCTTTCGACGAAGAAGCCATGAGGGCAAGACGGGCAAAACAAACGCGAAACACAGAATATCCTTGTTTGCAGGCTGATTATTTACACGATTTCCGTATGCTTTTATAAACGTTCGCAGTAAAAACGCTAATAAATCTCTCGATCTCAATTCACAAATATAAGTAAAATACTAAATGACTGGTAAGAACTGGATTAAGCTCTTGGCTGTATATTCGTTGTTGAGGAAAATATAGCTAGCTAACTTTGCGCAGAAAGGAGTGATATTTAAAGCTCAACAAAGCGTGTTACTTATCAAATATACTGCATTTCTGTCTCTAATTTCCGTGGCAGCAGACGCGTTTGGGTTGCTATGCGCTACTAGGAATTACAACGAGCCAATCAGATAAAGATTTTGATGAAGACTGTATTGTGATTGGCATAAAGTTAATGATGCTAGTTAATGATGCAGAACATTTACATTCTGCACGTGTTTCTCTCACCTCTAAAAAGGCGCTGCCAGTGTTAATGAGTTGCTGAAAAAGCACTTTATAAAAGCGGATTGATTGGCATTAATTTGTAAACATGAAACGTTTATCAATTTTTTTTTTGCACATCGTTTGACAAAGTGATGTGCAATTTTCTCCATTTTGGCCAAAACGATGTGCAAATTGCACATTGCACACCGTTAATTCGCACACCGAAATACATCATACACAAATATAAAATGAAAGTGTTTTATAATAGAACATATTCATCAAACAAATTCTTGCGTGAACAGAACCTATAGAATAGCTAGATTTCTTGTTGCCAACCAAAACAGTCAGACTGAGTCAATATGTTTCTCAGTCGGTATATTACTTTAAATAGATATATATATACACTGTATTAGTAGCCTACTAAGTAGCATCAGATAATTTTACCCAAATTACCTACACATACTGCTGAAGAAACACGAATTTAGGCGAAAAGAGGAACAGTTTGTACACTGGTTTGCGTTCCGTAATATGAAAGAGAAACTATTATACAGGAGGCAAATTTGATATATCGTCTAGAGCTATTCGACGGCAGTCCTAAGTAATAGATCCGATTGTTATTGGACAGCTAAATAAAATTATTACAATAGTTCCTTTTAAATATTGAAGTATATAAACCAGTTAAAATATACCCCAAAAATTGTTCTAACAGTAAGAAATTTAAAGCCGGCCAAATACATGACCTTTCCGATCATAAAATAACATGACGCCATTTCGCATTCACACCAACACCGCTGGAAAAAGCGAAGCCCACGCTTCTGGGAGCAAAACGCATAGCAACCGACCATCGTGGGCATGATCTTGGTACAAATCCTCCAAGATCTTGCCATGATTCTCCAAGATCTTGCAAGATCTTAGGTAAGATCCTGCAAGAACTTGGAAAGATCTTGCAAGATCATGCAAGATCTTTCCATGATCTTGCAGGATTTATGTAACATCTTGGCATGATCTTGGTACAAATCCTGCAAGATCTTGCCATGATTCTCCAAGATCTTACCACAAATCCTGCAAGATCTTGCCATAATCCTCCAAGATCTTACCAAAATCCAGCAAGATCTTGCCCATGATCTTGCCAAAAATCCTGCGAGATCTTGCCATGATCCTCCAAGATCTTACCATGATCCTCCAAGATCTTGCCATGATCCTCCAAGATCTTACCAAAAATCCTGAGAGATCTTGCCATGATCCTCCAATATCTTACCAAAATCCAGCAAGATCTTGCCATGACTCTACAAGATTTTACCAAGTTCGTGGCAAGAACACATGGAAAATACAGAATGAAGAGGCTCTACATGAAATATACTATACTCTGGATATAACTTTGATTGAATTTTCAAACTAACGTAAAAGTGTACAACATTGCCATAAATTCAGTGTCGGTCTTTATTAAATTGCAATTAGTTCATCCAAATTATAATACTCAAGCTTTTACCTGGTTTAGTTTACATGGTAAATGTAGTAAATTAGGCCAATAATGTTGGTAAAATATTATCAATATCTATGGCAATTGAAATAAAGTCCGAATGAAAGTTCCACCTTGCTCAATATTTGAGAGAAAACAAAAGGAATCTTGTCTGTTCTTAATAATGTTGTTCTAAAGAATTGAGTTTCAAGATGGAACTTTTATTCAAAGGTTGTTTCATACTTTACTTCATGAAATTATATTAGCATTGACACCATTGTTATTGCAAGTAAGTCCTTCGATTTTGTTTTTCTTTGCATATCGCAGCACTTTTGAATTTTGATTGCACGCATCCACGATAATTTGGCGTATTTTCTATACTCTTTTCTTTGCCATACTTGGTGTTGAGGACAGCTATATCGTAAAAAAAGACTGTGTTAAAGTAAGTCTATTTTTTGTATTTCAGTTCATTTCAATGTTTACCCGAAACACATTGGCATTGGCAAAGAAAACTAGTACTTTTAATTAACACATACTGTGGCAACTTAGTCTTAAGTTTGTATGTTAGAATGTTAGGGTTTGGAATCCAAGTGAGAATATATACATTCTAGGACCTAACCAGGCCTCTGTAGACCTAACCAGGCCTCTAACACTGGCCTCTGTAGCTCAGTTGGTTAGAGCGCTGTACCGGAATCGCAGGGCCGTAGGTTCAATTCCTACCAGAGGACCCTGTGCTGCATTTTTCGCAGTTGTTCCTGGTTATGTCTTAAAGTGTATATATTCTCACTTGGATTCCAAACCCTAACATTCTAATACTAATTCCACCAAGTGAAGTGCAAGAATCTAAGTCAGTAAGTTTGTATATCTGTTCACAGCTGGCCAGTTAATTTTTCTTTAAGTCAAATCACATATATTATTCTTACCAAACAATTTAGTGACCCTGTCGGGATCTAGTGCTGGTTTTGGAGATCTTTTCGACTGGAATAATATTCCATCCTGGAGCTCCTCTGATGAAAATAGGAAGTCCAATAATTTGATTGCACATTTTGATGGTTCTTTTGGCAGTGCATTTATGCTCATCAAATTAATGTCATTGTGCCACTAAAATGAATTGACAATACTTGTGGTTGATGTATACATTCTACTAACTGTCTCAATCTCTGTAGTTTCTTTTTCGGCCGTAACTTTTTCATTTGGGGATGCCTTCGCTGTGTTTTCCTAAATAATATTTGAAATAACAAATTTTGAATAATACACATGTTGAATAATCATAGCTCAAACCATTAATTTTATGTGAAAGATCTCTATATTTCATCCTAGCTTTACTGGTTGGCCATAATGAAACTTAACTCACTAATGAAGCTCACATTTATACTGTAGTGTGAAATTGCATGTTCCTATGCGGTGCATTTACGATGTTTGCGCACAGACCTGTCATGACTACAGTTATCAGGACATTTCAGTAGCACAAAAGCTGTGTAATAAATATAGGACTGTGTGAATATAATAATTTGTGGTCCCAGGGGTATTCTCGATGACTTTGTCATTCTTAACAAAACGTTAAACTAGGCATTATCACGTTTTTCAAGCAACGTAAAGCTTATTGCGACCCATGAAGAGGTGTTATTTAATGTCGAAATTACAGCAAGCATTACATCGCTTTAGCCAATTAACTTAGCCGTTTGTAAGGTTATTTTAAAAAGCTTGAAACATTTATTACATGTGGTACTTATCAAATTGCTTAGCGCTCATTCATTCAACATGCAAATAATTTGTTGCCGCTGGGTACAAAATAGGTTGTAAGCACCTCCTTTCACAAGGATCTTTCAAAATCATTACATTTTTGGTATGATCATGGTAAAATCATGACAAGAGATTGTGTCAAGAACTTCCAAGATCAAGATAGATAAGATCTTGGCAAGTTCATGCTAGGATCATGGTGAGATCTTGACAAGATCTTCCAAGACCATGGCAATATTATAATAGAATCTTGGCAAGATTGTGATAAGATCTTAGCAAGGATCATGATGGGATGTTGAAAAGATCCTCCAAGATCATGGCAAGATTACAAGAGGATCTTGGCAAGATATTGGCAAGATCATGCTGAGATCTTGGCAAGATCATGCTGAAATCTTGTCAAGATTTTTCAAGACCATGGCAAGATTATGGTAGGATCTTGGCAATATTGTGATAAGATCTTAGAAAGGATCATAGTGGGATCTTGGTAAGATCATGGTGGAATCTTGCCAAGATCCTCCAAGATCATGGCAAGATTACAATAGGATCTTGGCAAGATTTTGATATGATCTTGGTAAGATCATGGTGGGATCTTGCCAAGATTGTGCAAGATCATGGTAAAATTATGATAGAATCTTGGCAAGATTGTGATAAGATCTTATCAAGGACCAAGGATCTTGGCAAGATCATCGTGGCATCTTGACCAGGGGCGGATCTAGGGGTCGTCAAATCAGTCGCGCGACTGAAGTAAAAATTACCTACTTAAAAAAATCGACTCCAGCTATCTATAGCAGCCAGCAAATCGTGTTATTAAAATTTTGAATCGTAGTCCAGTTATACGTTTCATGCTTCGGCAGAGCTTCAGCAAAGGAATGTTAGTCAGTCACGAACAGCGGTTTTACGCATGAATGTTAACGGATTCGGGGGTTAAATTCGGCCATCTGATTGGCCGGCTGACACACTCATTTCCATGGTTACGGCCATTTGCGACGGATCTGTGGGGAGGCTTGACGGATTTGCAGGTTCAGGGTCTCTGTATGAGCCTTCTGATTGGACCATTTAAAAAAATTCTGCACTTTTTTTGGTTTATATTTTTGACGGATTCGCAGCATGGGATATTCGTCAACACGGCACTAGCACAGAATAGATAGCATTTAGTGTTTATTATTTTGAATGTCTGAGAATTTTTACGAGGGATTTCAACTAGCGATATCTGGAGATATTTTTTAATCGATTTGGAATCTCTACAACGTTTGTATATGGAGCTTGAGAAGAGGATCGATGCTTCACGAACGAATTCTGTTGACGAGCTACTGAGAGCCATCAACAACACAAGCAGAAGCCTCGCTAGAACTTTTGGCGCAGAGGGCTATACATCCCGAAGTGTGTTCGAGATAAGCAAGACAAAGCTTGCACTGCAATAAGATAGAGAAATTTATGGTTTTATAATCATGTATCTTTAGTTTTGAAAGTATATAACCGGAGCACCAAGCCATCGGTGTTGTATTAAACGATAGTCTGACATATGATATTTTAATATGCGTTATTGCTATATTAGCATAATTCTGCGGTCAAGAAGCTAAAATGTGTTAATATTCAATGTCCGCATTGTAAGCACTTTACGTACGGAAAATTCTAAAAATCCAGTGGCATGCTATCAGCATAAAAATTATTTAGCGTCCTCTCCCTGCATACCGTCGACCATGCCCAGTGGAGACCACGTCCATCGCCGACAACGCCCCGTCCGTCAAAAAATTATTGACTGAGGTACCAAAATATCCTTGATCCGCCCCTGATCTTGACAAGATCTTCCAAGATCATGGCAAGATCACTATAGGATATTGACAAGATTTTGACAATATCTTGGCAAGATCATGGCAAGATCATGGTGGAATCTTGGCAAGGTTGTCCAAGATCATGGCAAAGATTATGATAGAATCTTGGCATGATTGTGATAAGATCTTAGCAAGAATCATGGTGGGATCTTGGCAAGATCATGGTGGGATCTTGACAAGATCCTCCAAGATCATGGCAAGATTACAATAGGATCTTGGCAAGATTTTGATATGATCTTGGTAAGATCATGATTGAATCATGCCAAGATTGTGCAAGATCATGGCAAGATTATGATAGAATCTTGGCAAGATTGTGATAAGATCTTGGCAAGATTGTGATAAGATCATGGCAAGGACCATGGTGGGATCTTGACAAGATCTACCTAGATCATGGCAAGATCATGATAGAGTATTGGCAATATTGTGATATATGTGATTGGTTTGATCAAGGTTCATTATACCTATACTTATGAAGGTCGAAAGATACAGCTCAGCAAGAAATATGTATGAAGAAAAATCATGAAAGATCTTGGCAAGATTTTGGCAAGTATGGCAAGATTGAATAATCTTGGCAAGATATTGGTAATATCTTGGCAAGATCTTGCCAAGATTAGTGTCTTGCCAAGACCTTGCCATGATCTTCCAAGATCTTACAAGATCTTGCCAAGATCTTCAACCTGGGCTATGGTTCGAAACATGAAGTACTTCATACAAGGTGGAATCGTCCATGTATGGAGGGTGATTACCCCCAAAATTAATGTTTGAATTTTGCATTCCAAGTTCCAGATTTTGTTGTTTGTTCCGTGCTTTGTGATATCAATGAATTGAATTTTGATATTAAAGAATTGAATTTTGATATTAATGAAGTTGAATATGTTGGAAAGAGATAGATAGTTAAAATCGAACAACTGGCCACTAAGCAGGACAACAATAACTTGAAACACATTTTGTGGCATATATTTTGGGCAGAGAAGTGCTCGAAAACAGTTCCGGCTGAACTGTCTAGAGGCTCTCGCTAACCTAAGTTTTGTCTAGAGAAACAGGCGAATCTCTAGACTGCAGAGGGCATGCTTGACTCTGTGCATGTCGTTCAGCAAGATGAGACCTAGTTGGACTGGTGAGCAACTATTGGTATAGGGCACATTACCCAGGGTACTCAAAGCTGCCTGAGGATACATGCAAAAACTGTAGGTTGTTCTAGAGGAACAAGCGGACCTCTAGATAACAGGGGAACAGGCGAACCCCCATTCAGATCTGTCAGGCCGTCGACATTGAGACCTAGTTGGGCTGGTGAACAACTATTGGTATAGGGCACATTACCCCGGGCCGCAACTGATAACCTGACTGACCACATCGAGTCTCTAGGTCTGCTCATTCAGGTCTTCAGTGCGACCTGATGATTGTGCTTCATGTGGTGAAGTGTTGTCCATCGGACAGCACTTTCCTGCCAGTAATGACAATCTACATGAAGTATAGGTTGTCATTTCCGCCACGGGAAGCAGCACAGAGTCAACCGGGTCGGCAATAGAGTGAAAAATGGGTGGTTAAAAATAAACTGCATGGCAAGGAAATAGCAAGACTTTTTTTTTCCAAATATATTTTTTTTTGCATTTATAGCATGTCAATGTAAGGCAGATTCGTTAAGCGTTTAAACTTTTGTTGTTGTTTTTATTTGAAAGAACTAATTGCAGACCCGTTTTAGTTCATTGCCGACGCAGCCAAGTCCGGCTAGGACACGCTTATAATTATTTAGCTGGCTATGTGGACCGTTAACACAAATTCGATAGATCTGTTTCCATTATGAAATCGTGGTATGAGTGACAACCCTCATGAAGTATGCGAAAAGGATCCACATAACCAGGCAAGCTATAACACTAACAGCTAAAGTAAATATAATAATTAACAGAGTAGACTTAGACCTTTTGGTTTGTATTGGCAATCGGTTTTGATGTTACAGAAACTAAAACGTCCCTCGGAGTTCTTATATATCTTTCATAACAATCTGAGGACCAGCGTCCAAGAGTCTTTATTAGCCAAGTAGGGAGTCCTGCTGAACCAGCTGCTGTCGCTGCTCCAATTCTGAAGCTATGTGAAGCATACAGGGTTTCGTCTAGTCCTTGCTGCTGAAGTAAACTGCGTAGATGTGAAGTTAGTGTTGCACGAGTGAGTGGAGCTCCAGATTCAAACTGAAAAAGAGGTCGACTTTCGGGGATGGAAGGTGTTTGGAGTAAATAATTCTTCATTGCTCGTGCAGGGCATAATTCATTAAGCGATGATCCAATTGTTAAACAGTATCCCCGGAGAAATGGGTCAGTTTTTGAGTGTTTGATGTTCTGCATTCAAAATGTTCGGGTAGAAAATAATGCCAGTTCTTGAAAGGTGGTATTCAGGATCAAATGGGGAATTACAAGTGAACTCACTGCTCCGCAGAAAGCCGAAAAAGGCTAAAGTAAAAGCAGCCCAGAGCATCACATTGTCTATAGAATCTGTAAACTGGGGACGTAGTGCACAATGAAGACATGCGAGTTCTTTAAAAGTGATGGGCCGACGATCTCTAGTTTTTTCACTCTTCAGGCATTTCAGACCTTTCAGACATTTTTCTAACAGTTGCATGGTGCCCATATGGAATGGCACTTGGAAAATGACATGCAGATAAGACACGTTGGCTAGATACATTTTGACAGTTGCATAAGAAAATTATTGGGATAAATGCCCAGCAAAGTAAAGTAATTTCAGTCTCAGGTGAACAAGGTGTCATGAACCCTTTTTTGAGACAAAAAGAAATAAACCGTTTAATACCGGCTGCGTATGTTTGTTTTGTTGAAGTTGCCCAAGAATGTTGAATTAGTTGATAGTACGGTCTTTTAGGTTTGAATAATTGATGACGGGATGACACAAGGCAGAGGAGAGGCCAACAGCGCTAATTGCTTGAAGCGGTCCATCTGAAAACGAGAGAGCGAATCAGCAATGCCATTGTCGATTCCGCGCACATGTTTAGCTGTAAACGTAAAATTATTTGTTAGCATACAAAGGACAATTGGTCGCAGTAAATGTATGTTGTAGTCTATCCGTCTTGTCCAAACCAGTGAGTCCAAACTCTGTCTGCAGTGTGTACTGTATAAAGACTCTGCTCACTTCATACTAAATAATGACGTGTGGGCAAAATTTGCTTTGCTCTGTCTATTTGCCTGTGTTGGTGTTCGCTGGATACATGTTCAGCAATTACAACCAGAACAGAACCTCACTAACGTGTTTGTCATCAAACTGGTGTAGTTTGGTTGCAGATTATAGTGCATTTTGCTGCAAAAATCAGTGTTTTGTGGTTTACTCAGAGCCGGTTTCGCAATATTCAAGTCACGGTTCTTGGTCCTTACACAATGGCTTAAACATTCATTGGTGGTATGTCAGCAATTACAACTAGAACAGAACCTCACTAACGTGTTCGTCATCAAACTGGTGTAGTTTGGTTGCAGATTATGGTGTATTTTGCTGCAAAAATCAGTGTTCTGTGGTTTATTCAGAGCTGGTTTCGCAATATTCAAGTCACGGTTCTTGGTCCTTACACAATGGCTTAAACATTCATTGGTGGTATGTATTGTCTCCATTGTGTTGGAATTCAAACAAATTTAAACACCCAAGACGTGTTAAAAACAGGCGACATAAACATCCATGTACTTATTATTCAAATTCAACGGCAACATTTCATCTATTACTACAAGGCGATCTTGTGTTTAAACTAAATCCCGGTCCAGAAGAATATCAAATTAGTTCAATAGTATCATCTCGTTTGAATACTCATCAGCATATGTCAACAGATCGGAATCGAAATCTGGATAATCTATGTAATATTAGGTGCTTGCCGTATAACTGGACGTCAACAACGAATATATTGTCACTGTGTCTCCTCAACACCAGCTCAATAAGAAATAAGATTGTGGAGCTTACAGATTTTGTATGTGACCGCAAGCCAGATTTGCTTGCTGTTACTGAAACATGGCTTGGCGTCAACGATTGTGCAGTGAGAGCTCAAATCTGTCCTACTGGTTATAAGTTTGCCGATCATGGGCGAGATTCGCGTCGCGGTGGGGGAACTGGTCTATTCTATCGAGACTCACTTAATGTCATCAAAGTTGAGGCGGCCGAGCTGCATTCCTTCGAGTATTCCGAATGGATAATAAACATTGGATCTCAGCGAACTCGTCTAGTTATTATTTATAGACCACCATACTCTGCAGCCCATCCTGTTACAGTTTCCACGTTTCTCTGTGAGTTTGCTGGTATGTTGGAGTCTCTAGTTCTCAGTATTGAGCCACTGCTGATTACTGGCGACTTCAATATACATGTAAACTGTGCAGATGACCCAGACACTGTGGGCTTGCTGACGTTGCTCGAGAGCACAGGTCTTGAACAACATGTGAAAGTTCCCACTCACATCAACGGTAACTCTCTAGATCTGATTATATCTAGACAGAGTGACAGTATTATAGATGCAGCGCCTTGGACTGATTCTTTGTTCTCAGACCATATGCCTGTTTTCTGTTCTCTTAAGTTGGATAAACCCTCCTTCACAAAGTCTCGTATCTCCTACAGAAAGCTGAAATCCATAGATACTGAATGCTTGAGAAAAGATCTGTCACAAACATCTCTCTGCAAGGACCTCGATAACATGGAACTCGCTGCTCTTGTCATGTGCTACAACGAGACTCTAACCTCAACCTTAGATCATCATGCACCTTTAATTACAAAAACAATTGTCAAAAGACCCATTGTCCCATGGTTTACTGACGAAGTTAAGGCTGTCAAACGTCAACGAAGGATCGCTGAGAAGAAATGGCGTCGGACAAAATTGCAGTGTGACTTTCTTGCTTACAAAGCAAAGAGGAACTATGCAACATTTGTTATGAGAAGAGCGCGCCGTCATTTTTATACTAACTTTATAGCGGAAAACAGTAACGATCAGGGTAAACTCTTCCGAGCCGCAAAGTCGCTTTTTGTTCAGAAATCAGAATTGACGTTTCCTGACTATCGTAATTCTTCTGCCCTAGTCAATGATATTGGAGAGTACTTTGTGCGCAAGATCGACCGTGTACGCTCTGAACTTGACTCTGTTAATCCTACTGAAGACTCTACCTCGTGTACTGTCTCACACTCCGTCACCCCCATTGATAGTTTTAACAAACTTGATAAGAAAGATGTGAGGGAACTTATCGCTGAATCAAGTAAGAAGTCGTGCTCTTTAGACCCCATGCCCACACCCCTGGTATTAGAGTGCTCGGATGTTCTTCTCCCCAGCATCACGAGGATGATCAATCTGTCACTTGAGGTGGGGACATTCCCAGAACCCTGGAAGTTGGCCGATGTCCATCCGCGCCTCAAGAAGCCTGGTGTTGAATCTGCATTTATGAACTTGCGTCCGATAAGCAATTTAACATTTGTCTCTAAACTTACGGAAAGAGCTGCATTTAACCAAATTAATCAACACTGTTTGGAAAACAACCTTTATCCAAAGAATCAGTCCTCCTATCGTAAGCTTCACAGTACCGAAACCGCTCTTCTTCGAGTAAAGAACGATATACTGACTAGCATGAACAAACAGCATGTCGTATTACTTGTATTGTTAGATTTGAGCTCGGCCTTTGACACTGTCGATCACACTATCCTCCTTAATCGACTCAATTCAACTTTTGGTATTACGGGCTCTGCTCACAAGTGGTTTAATTCATACCTTACCAGGCGCAGCCAATTTGTTACGGTAAATGGAGCAACGTCAAAGACATTTGATTTGCAGTACGGGGTACCGCAAGGTTCATGTCTGGGTCCTCTGCTCTTTATTTTATACGCAAGCAGATTATTTGATATACTTGAAAGTCACCTCCCCAATTCTCACATGTACGCAGATGACACACAACTCTACCTCGCATTTAAACCCGACGATGCCATGAATCAAATCACTGCCGTTACAGCAATGCAGAATGCTATTGATGACATTAAGAAATGGATGTTCGCTGACAAACTCAAATTAAATGATGGGAAGTCCGAGTTCATGATTATAGGCACAAGACAACAACTGGCCAAAGTCAGTGTTGACACCCTTCGAGTAGGCAACGTTCAACTAACACCACTTAGTGAAGCTCGCAATCTGGGTTGCTGGTTTGACTCGCAACTTAGCATGGTGACTCATATACATAAAGTTTGCAAAGCTGCATTCTACCATCTATATAATCTGAGGAAAATTCGGAAATTTCTGGACAATGAAAGCATAAAGACTTTGGTCAATGCCTTAATAACAAGCCGCTTAGACTATTGCAATAGCCTGTTGTTTGGGACACCTGCTACTCACTTACTGAAATTACAGAGAGTACAAAATACTGCTGCCCGGCTCATCTGTAATATGTCACGATTTGACCATATAACTCCCACATTGATACATCTACATTGGCTTCCAGTGAAATTCAGGATAGATTTCAAGATTCTACTAATAACATTCAAAGTTATTCATGGACTAGCTCCTGAGTATCTACATGAATTGATCTGTGTAAAAGCACCATCTAGATATCATCTCAGATCGAATGATCAATTATTACTCTCACAGCCAAAGTTCAAATCACTGAAAACTTTAGGCGATCGTGTGTTTATATCAGCAGCGCCCAATTTGTGGAACTCACTACCAAATGTCACAGAAAAACAATGCGTTTAGATGTCCACTGGGATCCCCAGAGACAGCAGGCAAGATAAATTGGATAAAGTTCTTGCCATGCGATCGAAATACCGGTTTTTTGGTTGATATTTTGTTCCGGCAGCCAAATGCCTTGGAACCATTGCCCTGCTAAATAACCACCGAAACCTATGGAACCAGCTGCGTCGGTATACAGTTGAAGCGATGGCGTCTGTTCGGACTCAAGAAAAAGACTAATACCATTCCAATGTTTTAGAAAAAGTTCCCACATAGCTAAGTCTTTATAAAGCTTGACCAAGTTTATCAGGGGGAAGATAAGCTATCATGCGGACAGAGTCTAAAGAAATCCCGAGAAACTCCAATACTTGATTAGGGGCATAAGTTTTGCCAGGGGCAATTGGAACATCTAACTCGGTAAACATGCACAACAATTTACATAAGGAAGTTAAACATGCCGAACGTGGTGCGGGTTCGGCTATAAAGAAATCGTCCAAAATATGGAGAACATTTGAGACACCTAGTTTGTGTATAAGAATCCATTCGAGGGCATCAGAAAACATGTTGAAAATGAAAAGATTCGGATGAGTATTCCGGTGTTGAGCTGGGTCTTGGATCGGCACTCGATGCAGCTGGGACTTCTGCTCCATCGTGATCAGCAAGGCGACGAAGAAGGGTATCACGCGAACCAGAAAGCGCAAGATTTCGTTGCGCCAGGAGGAGATGAAGAACCTCCGTTATTAAATCGGCATAGTTCACCCCAGCTGTACTTGACGCCATCGTCGAACTTTCACCAACATCTGCAGCCTGCGTTTCCTCGGTGCTACACTGCGGACGGCCACGAGTTGAGCCACGAGTTGAGCCACGAGTTGGTCCTGAACAACGCTTGCCTTTTTCTTTAGGAATTATAAGTCAACAGTATTTAATTTTAATTATTTTTCCCCAAAATTTCACTTTGCCAAGGTTTTTATCACTTGAATTATAGGCTAAAATTTTGCCAGGGATGTTAACACACTGGCTAAAGTTCTTGCGCAAAAAGAGGGCATTGTATGTATGCACGTGAAGGAAAACCTTCAGGATGATTTCTGATTGGTTAATTTCAAGTTAGCATCAGTTGTTCATATGCTTAGTAGCCAAAGTTCGATTTTTATTTGATATTTTGTAATATTAACAGGACTAGAAAACGGTTCCCTTGTTCACTGAAAACACCCTCAGGCAAATGGAGTCTTCTAGAACATATTACTCCATTAACCGCAATTTATAGCTTTGCTTAAATTGATTATTTAAAGAATTGAATTTTGATATTAAATAATTTAATTTTGATGTTCGCAACTGCATTTGTACTTCTGTTTGTGCATTCTGTCCTTAAGCATTCCATTGTGATGACGTAACATTATGTGTGACCCTCAGAACCCAATTTTCAACCTGTATTTAATAATTTATTTCCCGCAAATAATTTTAATGTTACATGTAATGTGATCATAAATATAAATTTACAGTAAATAATATTACAAAATGGCAGAAAGAAGTGATCATCAAGAGTTCTCAAATCTTCTACGAAATTCCATTGTAAGCTGTATTGCAGATCTGGAAGGAAGTCCAGATCGAGACTACAGCATTTTTCGCATCGACTCGCTTTATCACACTGTTCTAAGATTCGATGAAGCATTCGAATTTGATGAATCTGTTATTGATTTAATTTCACAACCAGAAGGACTTGCTCTTTGACAGCCATGTTGGTACAGAGTTGTTAAACACATTTACATGCCCACAATTATTCACCGGTCAGCGAGGACAGCAGAAATTTGAAATTCCAGCAGCGATCCTTCGCTTGTTGTTTGACAACAAGCGATTTACAGTCAAGGATACAGTGACTCTTCTTGGAGTGAGTCAAAGAACAGTCGAAAGAAGAATGAATGAATTTGATATACGCATTGGCAACTGTTATTCCGACATTGGCGATTGTAGTCTATAGTAAACAACATAGTTCGCAACTTTCCCAACATTGGCTATAAACGGATGTCGGGATTGCTATTGTCCAGGGGGTTGCGGATCGAACAGAATAGAGTCCGGGAAACAATGCGCAGAGTGGATCCTTGCGGGACGTTGTTCCGAACCCAATCTCTGAGACTAGTCCACAGACGAAGATATCATGTACCCAGTCCACTATCACTTTGGCATATTGATGGAAACCATAAGCTAATAAGGTATCCGATACCTTTGGTGTTTATTAATAAAAATGGGGCTTATACGGGTTTATACGTCACGCTATTGTTATCACCATCTGTTCACAAATGTATCATCTGCTAAACCAGATCAGCCCATCGATAATTTTGGCCAATTGGTATTCTAATCTTTGCCTAAACATGTAATTGTCAATGGGTTAAATATTAATAATGAATTGAATTAATTGGTCAAAATACCAGTGTTCTTCATACAACACTCTCTTATATGCATTAATAGTTGTCAACAAGTTTTGGATGAACAGTCATTGAATATTTATGCAAATACTTTCTAATTTCCTTCTTTAAATATTGGAATCAATAACTAAAATATAAACTTACATTATTAGGTGGAGGTTTGTCATCCATGCTGGCATAGATGGATATTCTCTTCAAAATAAGGTCAGTTACCCCCATTTTTTGTGTCGTAAAAAAATAATTCATTTAGTATGTTGAATCATTGTTATGATTTAAAAATTCTGTCATGCGAAAAACAAATTGTTACAAATTATTACATTTTCCGATCTTTAATAATTTTGGTGGCATGACAGAATTTTTTTTTAACCACGAAAATGATTCAAAATATCAAAAAGAAATCATGCTACGTAATAAAAATGGGGGTCACTGACTTTATTTTCGAGTTAAATTACATTAAACTGATAATATCCGCCACATTGAAACGTCATTGTTTCCATAGCAACAGTTGTTAGAAGTAAATTTTTAAAACTCCGAACTCCTTAGTTGTTTAATTCAAATCAGATAATTATTGTCCAGACATTCATATACAAATCAGAATATCAATATTCTAGCTATTCCATATTCTGTAAAATGTCAACCTTGTGATGTCTATAGCTCAATTGGTGAGATATGAAAGGCTTTTTACTGTAACATCCACTCTAATTTATAGTGCTACTGTGAAGAAAATTCATCATCGAGAAAATTATCTTTTTTGCTAGCAACAACTTTATTATGGCACCAAAAATGCTTGTGTACAATTTCAGGTGAACATGATTAACGACCACAGAGTTACAAGCATTTGAAATGTCCAAAATCCGCTGTCCACCATTAAAATCCGCCATCTTGATTTTATGTTGTCACAGCTTCTGACGTCATAGTCTCAACATACTGCAAGGGCACAAGTAGAATTAGTAAGCAAACATAGAGCATCGACGCATCGCATACATTTCAAGAACTAATATGTCAGTTTCGTTGCGATCTAGTAGCGTTTCGGAGTATTTGTCTGAAACAGATTCTCTCGTATCTCATATGTTTATATAACAGCGAATTCAAGCGAACTTGACAACTAATTTTTGCCATTTGATGACACTATTGGTGGAGCCGCCTGCCTCACCTGAAGAGGTAGCCGAGTACGAGGTCGAGGAAGCTGTAGCAGAAGACGAACAGCCATGTTGATGTATCTATCGTCTTGGTAAGTTTGTGTTCTTATTTGCCGGAGTGGTGGAGTAATAAAAAAACGCATCTCTGAACTTCTATTTTGCATTTTTTATAAAGTGTGAATGTGGTCATTGCTGTTAACCCTGAAGTATGCCGATGTTGTTATTAAACAAGCATTAACATATTGTGCGCGCACATTTATTTAATATTATATATTTTATACGTTCTTATGCGCAGTTTCCTACAGACAGCTTGTGGTTTGGTATGAGATTTTACGGGCAGTTCAAGGCATCTCACATTACCGTGTTGTTGTTACAATAAAATATGATCAACATTCCCAAACACTGATCAGTGAGCTTACTCGGAGAGTCGGAGTTTTTTAAAAACAGCTCGATGGTTCATCCTTGTTTGTATCAGTCTTGTTTGCAGTTTCGCCCAACTTGTTTAAATTTTAAACCTATTTTCAATAATATGAGAACAACACTTGTCGCGTGAATTTATAACTGATCTGGACTTATCAGATTATGTAAATATGTATGTAGCTAAAATATATTCATATTTGACTAAATCTTACGCCTGTCTCTTGCTGTTAGTTGCACGGCGCTTTCTTCCAAATAGTAGGCACAGGACCTGGTTTTAGTCGTCGTTGCAAACTATCCAAATGAAATAAACACTCAAAACAATCCATTGAAAAATGGTCTGAACAAAATAAGAAATCATGAATCGAATTTCCTGCGAGCTTGGATAAAAATTGGCGTGCTTAGTTTGCACAAATCTAACTGATATTCTTCTCAAAGACTATCATTGGGTTCTTATGCAATGAATCTACCTGCGTTTTTGTCAGAAGTATTGCTGCAATCTTGTACAACACAACGCGATGAAGGCATGATCGAGTTTTACTATAGTCGCGTATATATTTTTATGTTGCACGCCCAGCATGTGTTGAGACTATGATGTCACAGACTCCCGAACACTTGAACTTTCCAATATGGCAGATTTTAATGGCAGCCGCCAAAATTCGAACTTCATCGTCATATAACTCAGGCCAAATATGAGATATCATGCTAAAATTTTGTGTGACAGCTTCTTTATACGCATTCTTCACAATCATGGAAAAAAAAACAGAAATGAAAATTTGGTCACAGTAGCACTTTAAAGTTTTATATACAGTAGAATATTAATTTGTTTTTCATGTCATAACTTACTATAACATGACGTGCTTCAAACATGTGTGAATCCTTTTGCACCAAACAATAGTGCTGTATCCATCTTCACTTTGAGTACATCAAAGCTTGCATACGAAGGGATGATTATTTCGTAGAAGCAAGTTCTACTCATGGGCAGCAACTCTTCGGACTTGCTGAAATCCACGTTTGATATTGAGTATCTCTCCAGACTGTGGAAGTAAAGTAAACCAGTCCAGAAGAAAAGATCTTTTAAACTTGGACCTATATAAGAAATACATACATACAGGTTATATGTATTTATATAATTGTATTTAAATTTCATAGAAAGATGTGCAACCATGAACTACATATCGCATCGCACAAGAAACAAATATTTTACGATCCAGCTGAACCGAATCCAAAACAGGGTTTATTATATTGAAACTGTCTGTACCAGTGTGGGTAGTACCATTTTGAAATTGCTGTGCTGAGTGGTTATATTACTACTTGAAAAAAACAACCAGAAACTCAACGTTTCAAGTGAAGCAAGCAGAAACTCAACATTTCGAATATATATTATTTCTATATCTTTTTGAAAACCATAGAGTTTCATTCCCTCTCATGCTGTCATGCTGGTTCCAGCAACAAACAGAAACTGTGAAAAATAAGATCCTGTGCATCTCTGTTTGAGCAATGAATTATTTTAATTAAACAGTACTTTACCATTTTCTTCACTTCCAACATGCTCAATATACTGCTTCAATAATTCAACCAGCTGAACAGAGATGGCATCTTTGTCTTCAAGCCTAATGAGAGATTTGACTGCCTCTTTGTCAATATTCTCAGAAATAGCAATGGTAGAGCAATTGCCTTGTTTCCCCTCAGAAAGATAAGGAGACCAAACTCATCCATCCCTTCCATCAGGTCTTTCAACTCAGCTTCTTGGTGAGTAATGATGTTGTGCAACATGATTTGCTGTGCAACTATATGTCTCTTC